AGCCTCGGCGAAAGAAGCGTCGCAGTACAAATATAAATATAAAATAATATAAATAAACAAATAAATAAATATATATATATATATGTATATATATATATATGTATATGTATGTATGTGTGTGTGTGTGTATATATATATATATATATATATATATTATGCATGTACGTATGTATGTATGTAAGGACGGACGGAGGGAGGGAGAGAGGGATGGAGGTATGCATTTACGTATGTATGTATGCATGTATGCATGCCATGTCATATAATCCAACATCATCGAGCACGGTATAATAGCGTAATATGACATAAAGTCGTCAGGTGAGCAAAACCAGCGAAATCTCGAGGAAGCCAGAACGCGCCAATTGTAAGGTGCCCCTCGTGCAGACGGTCTCACCTTGTTCTGCCTAAGTAGGCAAGGGACTTTGGTCCAGAAAAGTACAGTATAATACAACATACCAGCTCCACTACGATATCATATAGAATAACATAGTATAACACACCCTAGTCTAATGTGAAATAATACAACGTGCTCTAACAGAAAACATACATACACATACACATACATACACATACATGTGCACGCATCTGTATATATATATATATATATATATATATATATACATATGTATATGTATAGGTATACGTATATGTACATGTATATGTATATGTATATGTATATGTATATGTATATGTATATGTAGATGTATACGTATATGTATACGTATATGTGTATGTGTATGTATGTATATGTATATGTATATGCATATGTATGTGTTTTAATACCTATATAGAAGTGTGTATATATATATGTATATACTATACACATACTAAAGTGTATATATTCATTACACATAGACATGCATGGAAACATCGCTACCGGTGGCTAGCTGTCTGTCTGCCTGTCTTTCGGTCTGTCTGCCTGTGTATGTAGGGGTCTATATGATCTCTTATTTAAACCGCAAGACTTTCTGATGCCCCTGTGCTCCAGGGACCCGTGTTCTCGCGGGAGAACAGCCGCCAGGGCCTTTACCTGCCTCTTCCATCCAGAGTGCCCGAGGCGCGTTCCTACAGCCAAAGCCCTTGTGATCATTCTCGGGTGTCTGGCTATCATGTAAGCTACGTTCCCTTTAAAAGCCTTTACGACCCTTGTCAGGTTGCGGCTAGAAGGTCAACCCTAAACGCGAAAGAACTGTATATCATGTAGATTGTCAGTCGGATTGTTAGGATGCTGTAGCCTCTACAGTAGAAGCACCAAAGGTCCGCAAGGCTTATTCACATTGCTAGGCCCTGCTCTACGTTCTTTCTTGGGCTCCCGTTTTGTTTTGGACTAGCTTCCGGAAGAAGTATCCGTCAATGATAGTTCCGATTCAGGATTCCTGTTGTAGCTTCCAGAACACTAAGGAGCCCAGTACCCCAATAGTCCACGAATCAGTGCTCCTCCCTCTCCGAAAGCTGAGTTTTTGCTGACATTATTGCAAAGGCAAAGGCGAAGTCTTGAACTTTGCATTCTTTCGGGTCGGGCCTACAGTTTTGCATGTTGGATTTGGGGTGAGGGTTCGGGGTTCGGGGTTTGGGTTTAGGGTTTAGGGTTCGGGGTTTGGGCCTCGTCACGGCTTCGTGTTTGGGGACGTCTTGTCTTAACTCAGAATCAGGATTTTGTTCCTTCTCCAAACCTGAAGCCCAAAACCAGATACGCTTTTAGCCCGAAGACAGAAACCCTAAACGCTAAACTCTAAACCCTATCCGAAACTGTTGGGATGCAACCAGGGCTCCGATGGTGAGGACAATGGCGAGGACTGCTGGGTATGGTTGGGCTTCGGAGGGGTTTAGGGGCTTAGGGTTTAGGGTTTAGGGGCTTAGGGCTTAGGGTTTAGGGCTGAGGGTTTAGGGTGGGCTTCGGCGTGGGATTGGGCCTTGGCTCAAAGCGAGCTCACCGAGACTCAGACATCCCACAGTTGACTGGGTTCCTTATCAAGGATCCTACTATTTCGGGAACTTCCTTCGGTTTATGCTAAACCCTAAACCCTAAACCTGTTTCGGGGCTGGTTGCCGATGCAGACTTAGCTCCCGAGGAGAATGGGGTGCGGTCCTCCCAAAGTGTGGCTTGGCTGGATTGTTCCGAGAGCCACAGGGTTTAGGGCTTGGGGTTTAGGGTTTAAGCCCAAACGCAAGCCATAGCTTCTGCAGTGCATCCACAGCACCAGACTACATGAGCTCCGCAGATTTGTGTTTCCGAGATGTGTTTCAAACCTCTATGTATAGTATACACTTAGACCCTAGGCCTTAAAGTAGCTATATAGGAAGCCTTCAAGATTTACGAAGGTTCTAATATTAGGATTATGATGCGAGCTGTCCGGAAAGCAGAAGAGGACTGAAGGACTGCTGTCCCCGTGTTTCGTAGCGCTGTCAGCTACTTTCAGTAGGATAGACAGCCTTCGGGGGACCCTCTGCCAGAGCTCTAGTTCAGAATAGGAAGCCAGAAGAACCGCCTGGAATCATGGGAAGAACCTCAACAGCCAGAAGACAGAAAGTCGTCGAGTGTCCACGCCGCCCTGCGATCAGAAGATGGCTTTGGGAGTACTGCAAAAGCATGTCGGACTGGAGCAATGGACTCTCAGCCTGAATAGGTGGTTTAGGAGCCTCTTGCCAGAACTGCGAGAAACCTTCACAGTTTTCTCTTATCAGAAACGCCTTAGAAGAGCGAGCGCCTGCTTGAAGGCCGGATGGGACGTCCCCTCGAGCTGTGAAGACTGCCGACTCAGGGTCAAGTTGATGCTGGAGCGTCTCAGCCGAAGGTCCTGAGATCATACAGGGGCCTTAGGAGTTAGAATAGGGTTTTGGGGCAATCATACAGGGACCTTAAGAATTTGAACAGGGTTTTTTGGGGGTATGTTACTGCTAGAATAAGGAAGCCTAGGGAATAGTATTATTTGCTATATCATGAGTACACGCTCGTAGCAAGGAGGCGAGCAACAGGAAACCATGGCCACATCCAGTAGCGACATCAGCATCTTCGCTATCATCTTGACAGGGGGAGTCCTTCGGTTGATGATATAAATCCTGCATTACCAATTATACGGAATATATGGGAATTATGGTATATTCCTTATCATGGGTCATGCAGGATTTGTATCATCAACCGTTCCGACAGCTTCATGAATCTTCGGGATGACAACCAGATCCATGGGCACCAAGAGGCATGATGATGAGAAGGGCAGCATCGGCACTACAGAACGCAACACCAACAGCACAAACAGTGATCATCGACTCATCGGCGGTGTTCGGCAGCGCTCACATCAATAGGACGCCTGATGAGTGCGACATACTTAATGGTGCTAAGGGTATTAACCCGAAGCTCAGGACGGACAACTGCCACATGGATAACGTTTGGTAGTGTGGTGTCGTCGGTAGTAGTGATGCCAGTGGTCGTCGTAGTGGTAGTAGGAGGAGGGCGGGGGGGCATACGAGGAGGATGAGGATGAGGACGACTTCAACAAAACGTGGTTTAGATGAGGTAAGCCCAGCCCTACCCTGAACCCTAAACCCAAACCCTAAAAGCCATGAGCACCCGAAGCCAATCTCCCAGGAACCCAGCTAGCGGTCGCGCAGCCGCCTTCGTGCAGTACACGATGTTCATTGTCATCATGGCTGCAGCCTCCCGGCGGGTTTTGTAGAGGGTATGTTTCAGGGCCTATCATAGGGTTTAGGCTTTCGGGCGAGATCATTGTAGAGGGTATGCATTCTGGCAGGGGTGATAGGGGTTTTACAGGGTACTTTGCGGTTTCAGGTCAGGCTGGCTTCGGAGACGGGAGCAAGGTCGCGCTGTTAAACGAAATTGTTTTCTCCGGTTATTTGGTGGGGCAGGGCTTGTGGGTTGCGGATTGGGATCCGTTGGCCTTGGGCTTGACATGAAGCCGTACACAACATGTGACACCATATTGCAAGAACAAGCGTTATCCGAAGCACTGCGAGCGTCCTGCCGAAGCCTGGTGTCTCAGGTGACATGCGCCATTTGCGAGACCATTCCAGAGATGGAGCATGAGTACATCTTCCACATCCTGGACTGCCTGGAGTTTGATATAGGGGCCCAAATAATTACCAATGATATTTTGGGGGTTCCTTTTTGTTATTATAGTATAATGATTAATGAGTAATGGGCCCTAACCTTTTCAGGCCCCTATATTAGGGGTTTGGGCTTGGGCAGCGGGTTCGAATCGCAGGGGATTGATGCCTTTTTCCGGGCCGTGCGACGCGATGCGATAGAGCTGTATGGCAGTTTCAGATTCAAAGAGGTAATGTAGGGGCTGTAGGGGCCTTAATAAGTAGAATACAGTTTCGGGGGCTCCTGATTATAGTTATAGTTTAATATGCCCCCAGACCCTGATCTAATTCTTAAGGCCCCGACAGTACCTCTCCCCAGATACTTTGTTTGGGCATGGAACTGCAGCAGGGTTTGTCTTTGCAGGCCTAAGACAAGCTTGCACAAGGAACCCGTGTTCACCGCTGTCTTCACCTTGGAGATAAGCACACGATGGTGGGTCGCAGATAGCAGCTTCGAGCGCAAGTGCGACGATATTCCGGATTTTCAGTTGGGGGCTTTGAGGCTATGTGGGAGTTTCCGAGAATTAGGGGTACCTTATTTGGGGGTCCTTATGATAAGGATCCTACTATTTAGGGTACTATTTTAGGGTCCCCTATTTTCGGAAACTCCTATGTGGCCTCCGGCTGCGAGATCGCAAAGTTTGCAAAGGGCCTGGGAGGTACTGTGTAGGTGCTGGTGACAGTCTACACTGAGGCACAAGTTAGTGGTTAGCAGCCCGAGCTTCTACCAAGAGGGTTGTGCTGATTCCTGTACCTTGAAGGCTCCAGGACAAAGTTGACCCTAATATAGTACCCTAAATAGTAGGATCCTTATCATAAGGACCCCAGAATAGGTACCCCTAGTTGTAGGGGAATCCGGGAAGGGGGCGTGCTCCGTCCTTGGAGCCCTTGGCAGAGAAGCCATGCCTCAGGCAACTGGGACTTCTTCGCCAGCCCCTTCAGCATCATCGACATGCTCGCCACGCTACCAGGAATGCCTCCCTGAACTGAAATACTTGGAGGGGCAGGGGACTTAGTGAGTAGGTTATAAGTAGAGATAGAATTGGGGTAACTCCATTTAGGGCACTTATAACTCTACTTATAACTTATAACCTACTTACTATGTCCCTTGCCCCTCCAAGTACCTCCAAAGCTTCATTGAAGAACGTGCTCTCGAGTTTCGGGGTGAGGCTTGGCGCCTTCAACCAAGGAACATGCTTTAAATCATGCTAGGGATCCTACTATGGTTTAAGGTATGTTGCCCTAGTAAAGGAAAGTTGTGTTCGGCAGGCTACGTCGACATAGTCCTTCCCTTGATCCTGAACGCCGACAACGAGATGGCGCAGGCTGCCAAAAGTCCATCTAAGGGCCGTGCTACAGGATAACGTATCATAACAGACTGTCAGACCGTCATATACCATACTAGAATATAATGTGATATACTGTCATCTATGTATATGTATATGTATATGTATATGTATATGTATATATATATATATATATCTATATATATATATATATATATATAGAAATCGTAGTGCGCTGTACGACATTATAAGAATGCTCCTCGCATACTGTACTCCCTTAACACGGCGGGTGTCGGGTCTGGGTTCTGCGTGTGGTGTAAGCTGCGAGCGAAGTCTGGGGACAAGTAGATACCATGGTAGTCATGGTTGTCTAAAGCCCTAAATAAAGGCCTAAACCCCGGAAGCTCTAAACCTGTACAGGTGGACGTAGGTCCTCACATATTAAAGAGTTTAAACCCCATTAGCCCTAAGTCTTTGCAACCCAGAGTTTCAGTCTGATCTTGTCGCCAGGCCGAAAAGCATAAGCGCATCATCAGCATGAGCCTTGGACAGGAGGAGCTGAGCCGAAGAAACCCTAAACCCTAAATCCTTAACCCTACTTGGAGGGGCAGGGGACTTACTAAGTTAGCAAGTCCTCTGCCCCTCCAAGTAAACCCTAAGTCAGAAGACGAAGCCCCTAGTTTGGAATGACCTATGGGTACTGAAGTCCCAAGCAACCTGAGCCTTGCGGTTGTGGGCGGCGATCGATCGGATGTAAGGGCTTCCTGTTACAGGGATTGGTTGCGCAAGGGGGTTTCTTTTGGATATGGGAGTTTCCGAAAACTAGGGGTACCTTATTTTGGGGTCCAAAAAAAAGGATCCTACGATTTAGGGTACTATATTAGGGTCCCCTATGTTCGGAAACTCCCATATGTCTTTCAGTGGATGAGGCTGTTTTGCAGGTTGTGGTTGCCATTATTTCTGCCTGCAGCCAAAAGCCGTTCTGGGCAGGACTTTATGCCAAACCGGCCTCACCAAAAGTTCCATCCTCACCTCCGCCCAATCTGAACCCCGCTGAATCCATCCTAGGAACTCTCTCCGGGCCATCCGGCTCGCCGACTTGATGCGAATCGTTCGGCTGCTGAGGGTGCCCGGGCCGTGTCCAACGAGTTCCAGAAGACTGTAATACGAGCCTAAATAATTACCAATACTATTGTGAGGGTTCCTAATTATAATGATAGTATCATGGGCCCCAAGCCCTATACTAATTATCAAGGCCCCTATGTTACTACTACTGACACGACCACTGCCACCATTGCCTCCTCCACAACAACAGTATCATCAACAGCAGCATCATCAACAGCGGCAACAACAGCTTCGCCAACTTCGATTCGACCGCAGCAAAAACCGACGACGGCGGCGACGATGACGACTACTGTACTAGTGCTCCAGTATCACTACCTCAGGTCCGGGTATAGTAGGGCCCAGGTGAGTTCCGGTTCAGCATAAAGAATCTCAGGCTTCAGGTGTGAAGTAAGTGAACACCAAAGTGTCATCCAGCATGTGCATGGTGGAGGAACCGACTGTTGGCAGTGTTGGGCAGTCTTCGGTTGCAAGAGTTCCCTGAACCCCCGAAGCCACGTTTGGGAGAAGCAAGGTGCTGCGTGTGGCGAACACAATGCGGCAGTGGGAGATGATCAATGTGACGAGTCCTGATGTTTATCTAGGGATCTAAGGCATCTAAGGACTCATGCATAAAGGCTTTTGGGCCCAAAGACCATACCATATAAGCCCTGAGGGCTATTTTGATCCCTAGGGTTTATCTCATGATGGACAGTTAGACGGATCCAGCTCGTACGTCATATAGGCACATACATACGTACACATACATAAACGGGCTAGGTGCTCTGAGATGTTTCTCTGTTGCCCAAGGCATAGCAGGGTTCAGACCAGTACTTTCCATGAACTCGACTCCCTGGCAGTCCTACGGTTGATGATATAAATCCTGCATTACCCATAATAAGGAATATACCATAATTCCCATAGTTTAGGGTCCTTAAGGTAATGCAGGATTTATATCATCAACGTAGTGCTTCGGCGCCTTTCTGTGGAACAGGGCGGTTGGGTTTAGGACATG